CCCCAAAACCCCAAAACCCCAAAACCCCTATACCCTCAACAAGATATTATAAATTTTATAAAATGTCTAATCATCAAGGAATAGGTTCCTCAAGGCATCTTTATTTATCCTGTTAATCTTTATAGGTCATCTGAGCTTCAAAAATATTTCCCAACACACACTTCCTTATCCAGAAACATTCAAAATTTCGATCTCCCCACTGAATTTTCCATCAAGACCAAACCATCTCCTCTACAAACTCTCCCAACCTCTAACAGCTCCAAAACGATAGATAAGTCGTCAAAATTCAGAATGTTCCCTAAATAAAGTAGTTGCCGCTTTAAACTCCCAATTCTACACCAACCACCACTGTAACCCCTCTTTCTCACCTAAAAAGCCTTCAAAACCCCTCAAAAAGTCCAAAACCACCCACTTTTCAAGCCAAAAATTCCAATTCTCACTCTAAAATAATCTCAGAAATTCCAAAAAAACTTCAAAAACCCATAATTTCCTGCATCAGACCCCTCAAAATCTCCCAAAATTTCCTTCAGAATTCCCTAAAGATCCCGAAAATCCTAAAAATTTTCAAAAGTTTGAAAAATCGTGAACCCCTACAAGCAAATTTTCTAAAAATCCCAATCAAAAGTTAGTCTTCCTTCGCGATCAAGTTGACCAGATAGCTAAGGCCAGACTGAAACCTACGAAGAAGTAAGTCACTGTGTGAATTTTAGGAAGAAGATTAAATGAAATTTATAAAGTAAGATTAATGGGTTCATTCAGTCTGGCTGCACTAACAAGGCTCCTTAGGCCTTCAGCATCTGTCAGCCCAAATTTGGTTGGGCCCAGATTTCATGAACTGTATCATCATGTAGCATATTCTTTACTGGTGGCCTAAAGAGAGTCAAGGGAATCGCCAAGAAGAAGATACCTCCATATGGGAAAATACCTCAAGGAGAAGAAGAGGTGAAGCATGCCAGGAGGAGAGCAATAGTCGATGCCAAGAGTGAACTTGACTTTTTGATGAGAAGAGATAATCCTGATCAAGTAGATATTTGTTTTAGCATGAAGAGCAGGTTTTTCGAGCCAATTTTTAAGCTGAATGAGTATTTGAATGATAACGAAGGTAATTGATTAAATTGGTAGCATTCTTTCAAAAGAAATTCAAGATTTTTATCAGAGATGCTCCTCTTCAAAATCTACATCTCATATTCTTTTAGAACTAGCTTCTCAAACCTTATCAAATCCCAAGAATAAATTCTCAAATTTATCAGAGACATCCTCTCCTCACAAATTTAAAGGTTCGCTTTCTCTGAACTTTAGAAATGTATAACACTCTTGACCAGGAATTCAAGCTAAATTCTCTTAAATACGCGAAGGCTTCAAAGTATAGAAGGAAGCTGATGAATCTCAAATTTTAACTTCACGATTGTCAAGGATGGCATGCAAGGTATCATACCATATTTCTAAAGGTTTAAGACGAGGATATAAAGTTAAGGTAATTATCAATTAGCAAATATTAATGTGGGGTTTTGGGGTTTTGGGGTTTTGGGGTTTTGGGG